ATAAGAGTGAAGCAGGTGACTGGCATATGACCTATGAAAAGAGACGAAAACTTTCTTAATATTGCTCTTGTTTATCGAGTCACAAAACTACATGTAGGACATTCCTCTCTTGTCGATGATGAAGAAGTGCCACAGAAGACGAGAAACCAGAATAAAAAGAACTTAAGCCGGAAAAAATATGTAAAAAGTTACGACGAGTGGAAGGAGTAGAGAGAGAGAGAGAGAGAGATCATAATGACACCTTCAGAAAAAAAAGAAGGGGGAATGATTATAGTATGAAACGAAGTGGATAAATTGGTGACATCGTGAGAATACATAGCAACAAGGGCATTCAATCACAGTTCTTCATATGCGTTAGTTACCACGTATAAAACAAACTGCCGGGGGGGTGCGAGGGGAAGCCACAATAAATTTAGCGGGCAAAGGGTGCGGCTGGAGGGAAATTTTGTCTCATTCACTCATTCATTTGGGAAAAAAAATATTAAAAACAGATAATAAAAAGTAAAACCAGAGATGAGGGAAAATATGAAACAGAAGAAGAAAGGAAGGAACAACAAGAAAAATTATTTACTATTTTGGGGTTGAAGGACCAGAAAAAGATACAAATTTAAATCAACTAAAATATAACTTTCTTGTTGACGAAAATTATTGGTGATATGAATGTGTGGACGAGTGTTGGTCCCAGGTAAGAATACAGTCGAGAAGTAATAGTGGTGCTGGAAGAGTGAATAAGTGTTCAGGGTAGTGAAAGGACAGGTGTAGACCCCTAATTATATAGTAGGAAGTATGAATGAGTGTGCAGGTAAGAATGCAGGTGTGAGTGTTTGAGTGAGAGTTTAGTTAATTGTGAATATTTATGAAGAGAATAATGATGGTGATGTGGTGTTATTGTAGTGATGTTGATCTGTACCTGACTGTCATTATGAGGATTCCCTTATGATTAGTTCCTCCAGTTCATTTCACTATAAGATCAATTATACAAGCGCTAACCTAATCTAAGCTAACGTAACACAACTAACCTTAACTTAATGAAACCTAACCTAACCTAACCTAACCTAGCCTACCTAATCTGACCTAACCTAACCCCTCAGGTAGTATCTGAGTGACCTCGCACACAAGAGTAATGAAGCATCACAAAGGTCATGCGAGACCAGTAGATACATGACCTGTCACCACCTGAGGTCATTATCCCAACCACACGCCAAGGATCATTAACCTGAGCTGCAGCTGAGGGCAGTTAACACCTGGAGCCGAGTATTGAACCTGGATCTTTGCGTAATGGCTTGTCAGACCCAGAAACCACTGTTCCAAGGCCTACCAATCATTCGTGTGTATACTGTATGTAAAAAAATGGTATCGTGAATGTTATATGACCTTTGTCCCCATTGCACGGTAACACCTTTACATAATATTAATGCGAATGGTGCACATGAGGTCAGCCGAGTTTTAACAATGTTATTTAATTCATTACAATAGTTGACGTACACACACAGTAGTTACTGTGTCACGTCACTCACCACTAACATCCAGGTACCGGAGAGCTGAACCAATCAACTTCCAGCACGAGCCAGGGGCAGTTTCTGGACCTTTTTAAATCGTTTGATGTTACTATTTACCATAAGTCGAGGATATTTTCCATTACGCAAACAGACAATTACCATTATCCTAAGTACTGACTCTGCATTAGACAAACTGTGCCGTAAGAGTGCTTAATGTTGTAGAGTGCGCGGCCCCAAGTGCTGTTGACTCTGGCCAATAATAATAACAGCAGTAATACGGACTTCCAAAAACATGGGCAGAATACTGCGTGTGTATACATACATATTTATCATATTAAATAATTATGATTTGCAATTAATAACGCTAAATATATGTTTTATGCATGATATCAGGCATATTTGTCAATCAAATTTTACAAGGTGGATAAAAAATATAGTGAACTGTATCGACACCTGTTCACAAAAGTTTAACTCTAAATACCATAATCAGGTTGGTGTATAATGCATCTCTTTGTCAGATATGAGATGCAGCTTTGACTATATATCATATACGAGTTAATATTGTTGTTGTTTATATGAATTTCTGTGTTTTAAATAATATAATCGTTAAGAAACTATTGTTTGTTCAGGATTGAAGTTCTTCCTTGTTTGTAAATGTTTCTCTACTTCCTTATAATCAAACTATTGCCAATAAGAATAAAATGTGCTGAACATTTGAGTCAATATATTATACTGAACTGGTGAGTATCTGGGTCTTTGTGCTATTTGGTTTAGATTTACGAAACTTTATGCCCAAAAAAGAAGAAAATACATAAAAATAGTTAAATGGTGAAGAAACTATATAACATACGTGAGGGGCCGTCTGGTGTGATGACGTCAATGTTTACAATGGTCCAAACAGGCATTAGTTTATGATATCCTGTTTGGTCCAACAAACCCCATTGTTCTCTTTACGTATTTTCGCATTTATATTTAATATCTGCTCACCAAACTAAATTAATTACAAAGTTTGTATTTATTTCTAGTTAATCTTACCATGCACTTCAGTATCGGGTCAGTATTGCAAAAGAAGAAAATACAATTACAATTGTATTTCGTAACAAAAAATCTTTATCTTGCTGGACACAAGAGCCAGGATGTAGTTTTAATTTAACAGTATAGGTAAAAAAAATACCGACATGTTGAACAAGTTTTATCCAAGGTTTCAAATATTCCAGGTTGTGTCAGTGTAAAATGCTCTGATGACTTTTGTGTTATTCCAGATTCTCGATACTAACAAATTCTGGTCATCTATAAAACGATACATATTAAGCTTTAAATTTAGAATCAGAAGCTCAAGGAAAGTGTCATGGAGCTGTTACGTGAGCCTGAAGTATTATAGTCTACATAGAGCTGATTTTGTTATGAATTTCGTATATATATTAAAGTTTTATTCCATATTTTATTGGAGAACTCGGTTGTTTATTTCAATATACCAAAGGAACGTGTTCATAAATGTAACAAAACAACGTCGTGAGATTAACAACTAACCGTTTACTTCACACGAGTTAAGTCTATTTAAATTTGTAAGTGACAGCCACAAATTATGAGGAGAAATGAATAAACAGCGAGTCTCCAGAGTATATCAGTGAAACGAACTGGATCCTGGCAGATTTTCCACCAGAAACAACGCAGATTTAGTTTCTTACATATACTGTGAAACTAATTAATCACATGTATGAAATTACAATAAGATAAATTATAACACGTAAACGATATTCTAAGTCTTATCTAAGAACACCGATAAACTTGACAGAGACAAAAGCCATCACGATTCCAAATTAGTTTACATCACCCGCAGATTGTGTTATAACCAATGTTTTATTTCTAAACTGTTAACTAAACTAAGGATTGACCACACGACCTTGTATCTACGTCACCGCCTACAGCAAGTTAAGTCTTCAGCAATTTCCCCTTCTCTTTATATTAACTTTTTATCATTCCACCATATTACTCGTAGTGTAGGATGGTATTAAATTATCACCATCAATGTTACAATAAACATAAAACGAAGAAGCAAAATAAAAGTTAAACAATTTACCAAAACAAACTTACACACACACACACATATATATATATATATATATATATATATATATATATATATATATATATATATATATATATATATATATATATATATATATATATATATATATATATATATATATATATATATATTGGGAATTCGTGTATAAACAAACACTCGCATATCCACAAACATACATACAAGACCTCCTCCATCAGTTGAGGTTGAACTCGGGTCCGCAGTGGCAGGCGGGAACACTACTGTTGAACTCGTAACATTTTATCAGAGGCTTTACGGTGTCCGAGCAATACATTTCAGTAAAATTGCTTTTTGTTTCTCGTGCCAAAACATAACGACTTTGTACGCACCAATTCTCGCTGAGCCAGTCTCATTCCTGGACGCTTCACTGAGGATTATTTTAAGATCCTGAAGGTTATTCCGGGGTAAGTGGAGTGTTGGGTTGACCGAGGCTACAGCCATCACTTCATCCAGCTCCTGTTTACCAAGTCATTCCCGCCGGTCAATACTCATGTTTGTTAGTGAGTACTCACGCCGGTTTTGACAGAAAGATTAGTTTTGACAATAAAATCTAACTTACTGTATTATGACGTGAAAAATATTATTAACCTTATACATATTGTTTCATGTTATATAATAAAGTGTCTTTGGGTTGGGATCTTTTATATAGAGGACTGAGAGGAATAACCCATTGCTACTGTCAGGTCTTTGTTATGAGTAATTGACAACCTAACCAAGCGAACACCAGACGTCACTTACCGCAGACAAGGTGTGAGTCGACAAACATATTCCAATTTGTTTCTCCTGACATAACTGAGTCAATTGGAATATTAAGGCAATTGAGAGAGTTTTGTTTATACATTTAATGAGCAAACACAAATCGTTCTTTACTACAAATTAAAAAGAGATAAAACTCTCTTCTATCATCTGGCAACCTGCATAAACAAAAGCAAATGAATAGGTGATTGGTTGAATGACTGATCCGATAATCTAAGAGTAAGTAAATAAGTCGTTATTTACTTCCAACTTAAAATAGAGTAAGCGAATAATCATCCTTAAGTACATAGCTACAGGTTAATATTGCTGAATTTTCAAGGCGGTAAGAAATAAGTAAATAAGTTACGGAATTATAATAATACAGTATTACCCTTTGAAGCCTAGACAATTGTGCCTCAGACGATAGTGACGACAACCAAAAGCAAATTAACTAAGTAACTCACAAACTTATATCAGGAACCGAAATTAAATATAAAAGAGCAAATCTTGTATCTGGTTTTGTATCACCAGGAAAAACGAAAAAGAGACAAAATATTTTCTATAGATTGGTAGAAACTCGATGCTACCTGTAGGAGATAAAAGTCCTGGAGATTAAAGGATTATTGTATAAGTTAGATACAAAATAAAGGGAATGTTACCTGAGGGTATCTCCGTGTTGGGGAGTGATTGAGAGGAGGTGTGGAGGAGGAGGCAGGAGAGTGTGGCCACCACGACCACGACGTGGGACTGATCACAGCGCCGCCTCACCACCATCTGAAATAAAAATAAAACGTTCTTCTAGTTGTCTCAAATAGGTAGGTGAGGTAATGGTAGCCAACATTCCAGGGGCCATTAAAAGTCTGGGTCGATGTAGTAGAGCCGTAGGCAATAAGTAATTAAGGATGACGTCGGGATACAGTAAGGAGACCATAACTCACTGTGGCCAGGAACAAGGCTCTCGTGTTTATATTGGCGGCAGTGTTTCCCTTACTTTGTCTCCATACATGTTTCATCATATTTACTGATAGACGTATAGTTATGCTATTTCTGTATACGTGTGAAATATTGAAAACATACAGACTTACGTGAAGTGATGAGGAAATTCTAGAGTAAAGGATATACTAAAGTGTGGTACGGGATGGTGCTCCTCTGTGTCTCACCCACCAACTTTACATCACCGGTATTGTTGACAAGTGTTTAGGTTTCTTGTTGTAGTGTATTGTTTACAGAAATATACAGCTTGTTAACCAGACTATATATCTAAATTTATTATTATTATTATTATTATTATTATTATTATATGAAAACCTTACAATAAAAAATTGGCTCACTAAATATTAAAGAAGCCCCCTTGATTACCATGTACTTAAGACTAAAAAACCTAAAAACAAACAGTGTTGGGCAGAGAATGTCATCGATCAACTGTAATGGACAAAAAAGAAACACAATCCCGATAATTGTGTTGTATGACACCTGATTGACTGATGGGCCTGACCAAACATTGTATCGTGTGGTCTTGGCGAGTCGATCAGGTAAAGTAGGTGTTCAGGGTTCATATAAATCTTAAAAGTAATCACAGTATATCAATAGAACTTTGATGGAGTAGGCTGCTTTAATTAACATCATTATAGAGGAATTTTAATATTTTATGAACTTTTATCAAATATTTTCAAGGTAAGATTTAGTAGCAGATGACCACACTGATGATACTACTCAAGACAGGTAGTAAGTCCTTCGTGTATATTATTTTCCCTAAACTTGGGGAAACTGAGGAGGCGACTGAATGATGATGGTAATTATCTAAAGTGAAGTTACTGTTGAAAAAAACATACCAGAATATTTAGACAGAGGCCGTGACGGGTTAATGATATATCTCCCGCTTCTAACCATTGATTGTGTTTAAGAGTCACTGAGTTTCATACCCAATAAAGATTTCTATGCATGTAAGGTATTTCATTATCAATATCAGTATCAGTATTGGGTCAGGCAGAAACTTGACTGTCCGTGTGTGGGAAGGCAACTCTAGCAAGGGGGCCGACGTCATCAATACAGGATACCATAATGAATAAAATACGTAAACATGATGAGAATGAACATATTGGCTGACTTGGGATGGAATGGAAACGTTAAAACCAAAGGTAGGTGTGTGTGTGTGTGTGTGTGTGTGTGTGTGTGTGTGTGTGTGTGTGTGTGTGTGTGTGTGTGTGTGTGTGTGTGTGTGTGTGTGTGTGTGTGTGTGTGTGTGTGTGTGTGTGTGTGTGTGTGTGTGTGTGTGTGTGTGTGTGTGTGTGTGTGTGTGTGTGTGTGTGTGTGTGTGTGTGTGTGTGTGTGTGTGTGTGTGTGTGTGTGTGTGTGTGTGTGTGTGTGTGTGTGTCATTATGGACAAAAATATTATGTTTAAACAATATCCGTGCCCTCCTCCCTGCTGCCTCGCCTGCACCACCCGCTGAAACTTCCAAACTTTACTTTAACGGAAATTAAGCTAAACGGCAAGTGCGCTAAAGTTTGTCGGCCATAAGGAGTTGGGTCCTCCTCCCTCCATCCTCCTTCCTTCTCTCCCTCCCTCCTCCCTCCCTCCCTCCCTCCCCTCCCTCCCTCCCTCCCTCCTCCCCTCCCTCCTCCCTCCCTCCTCCTCCTCCTTTTCCTTCCTTCCTTCCTTCCTTCCTCCCCCGTTACCATCTGATTTGCCTACTTTGACCTGTGAACCACCTGGCAAAGTCCCCATCTTCCCATGAGCCGAAAACTGAATTAGCGAGGACGTGTGTGTGTGTGTGTGTGTGTGTGTGTGTCGTCGGGTCATCCGGGGGAAACGAGTTCCTAGGAGTCAGTCTCTCATGTGGACTAAAGCACTCCAGTCTGAGGATTGTTTTACCAATAAAATAAATATAAACTTTTCGTGAAATAATAAAAAATGACTAAATTGCTAACGAAGATGTTATTTTTTTTCACAACTTAAAATAACGAAATGAAAACAAAGACTAAGGTGAGACTAAGATCTTACGTGGCTTGGATGAGAATGAAACAGGTGTGAGGTGGAGGGCGATAGAGGTGTTCAACTTTTGTTTCTATTTTTGTGTCAGAGATCTACATCATGTAGGTGAACTGAGCGACAGAGAGACGAGCGGCGCCCAGCGGTACCTCACACACACACACACACACACACACACACACACACACACAGTAAGTCAACATGAACAAAAAGAACATTGAGATATCTTTATACAAGAAGAGTTTGTCATCACATTACAAGAATAAGATTCATGATTTCGCTTACATAATGGAGATTACTGGGGGTGTGAGGTATGGTGGTCTAGTGAATACAGCGCTCCTCTCCTGTCCTAAAGGGTCCCTGGTTTTCAGCTTTGAACGAGTGTCTATCTTCACAGTTGGAGAAGTAGAGACGGTCAAGTGCAGTTTTGATGGACAAACTCTCTGAATGCTTCAGATATTTGCATTATGAAGGGAAATAAGCACATTTGTTTACTATTAGTTTATAATATGAAGACTTTAAAGGTCAATGGAAATTCTGGTTCGATAACTAAATTGTCTTATCGGTATTAATTTTATATTTGATACTGATATTATACAATTTTTAATACAACGTTTCACATACTTTACCTTGTTATGAAAATTGTTGCTTTATGCCAAAAATTTACGAATAAGCGAATGAGTTATGTAACCATTGCCATTCCTGCGTAATTATAATCAGGGCATTATTGTGTATGTGTTTTATTATTCAATCGCCATTATGGATGACGTAACACGAGCTCACCCAGTGTTGTTTTATGTATATACGTGTGTGTATAATTTAGAATTCAGAACCAAGAGTGGTTTAATGTAGACACCCCATTACCACATACACACACATACATATATATTCACTGCCCCCCACACACACACACTCACACACACATATATATAAAGCCCAGCCACCCGTGGGAGAGTATGGAAGGGAGGAAGCATTTAGATCGATGAATAATGTGTACGGTCCTGACAACACCAAACAGAGAGTGGAGCAGACTACAACAACACCAACAACATCACACTAACATGTTGCGCCTCGACTCACACTAAAACAAATAAATGTACGGTATTGTTTTTTTGTTTATCTTGAACCATAATGCCCACGAGACTAAAACCTAAAAATCAGACCCAAAAATATATATATATATAGGAAATGGTTTTACTATTTTCCTGGGTTTAGTAACTGGGAAAAAAAAGCGAAACTCCCAGTGCTAATAAACACCTGTGAAGTATTCCAAAAAGAGTTTCTAGAATATTTTGGTATTTTTGTCCCTTTTTTTTTCTTTACTTTTCTTTCGCCTTGCCGCACGAGCTTTAGTCTTATACACAAAAATCTAAAAAAAAATATATATATATATAAATATTACCCATGGAATTCCGAGCCGTGAAAAAAGTTGAGAGATTCGTGGAAAATAAGAAATAAACCAAAAAATGCAGAAGAGGAGAAAACTGGGGGAGAAAGGGGAGGGGAGAGAGAGGTGGATACATACGTTCTGAAACTACCAGAAAAAAAAGAATTTAATTGACATGTATTCATATTGCTTTTTTGTTTTGCGATAATCTAGAATATTTATTTTTATTTTACTTTCACATGGATTGAGTTTATCGGTTATTCGTATATGTAAACCAAACAAATGATCATCATAACATAGGATAGAGGACACACACTAACACGATACAGGTCTAGGGGAACGTAACCGAGTATAATTTATTGCAAGACATGAGAAAATATCTTTAGGATGAGTAACGATGACATATATGGAGATAGAAAGAGAGAAGAGGAAGATTAATAGACTAGAAAGAACACACACACACACACACACACACACACACACATATTGACAACTACACGGATAGAATGAGCTGATGAAAAAAAAATGGAACAGTCCGAGAAAGACGGTATATGAACACCTAACACAAGAGGTTAAAATGAAATCTTAAACGCCCTCCAGGAAAGAGGTTTTTTCTCCCAGACCTAGCATAAGTACGTGGGTGTCAAGCAACAGGCCTCTAGAACACACACACACACACACACACACACACACACACACACACACACACACACACACACACACACACACACACACACACACACACACATTCATCGTCCCTTACCTAGACCTCCAGGTTGAGCCAGGTAGTGTAAATAGCAAACCACTCCCCCCCTTCCCCTCCTCAAATACACTTCAGCGAGTCAGTTCTCTATGGCACCTAACACACTTGTAGATTTTGTTCTCCTTTGATGATTATTATAGCGTAGTTGTGTTTTCTAATGTTGACAAAAGAATTTCTTGCGTGTTTTTTTTTTTTTTTTTTGTTCAGAGCAATATTTTTTGCAACCCTGTTTTAGTAGGCAGAAAGGAGGTGGTCTCTCTCTCTCTCTCTTTTCTCTCTCTTTCTCCTCTCTCTCTCTCTTTCTCTTTCTCTCTTCTGTCTGTCTGTCTGTCTGTCTGTCTCTCTTACGTACTGTCAAACATACTGCCTTTTACATAATTGACTCTATATTACATTACTGTCGACACGATCATGTTATAATGTATTACTGCGTTTCAATATCTCCCCTAATAGACTACATCTCTTAATAGACTATCTCCCCTAATGGATTACCTCCCCTAATAGATTACGTCCCTTAATAGACTACCTCCCTTAATAGACTATCTCCCCTAATAGATTCCCTCCCTTACTAGACCATCTCCCCTAATAGATTACCTCCCTTACTAGACCATCTCCCCTAATAGATTACCTCCCCT